TGAGGTGCGCGTCCGCCGTCCTTTTCAGAATTGAACATCATGACGTTTCCGCAGGAACATGAAAAGCAAATAGGCATAGCGTTTGTATGTTCTTTCAACCTTTCAGCATTTTCCTCCGTAGATAGACTCAACATAATAGAGGTCTAGGTAGGCGGATAAAGTTAAGAGTTTTAGGCTCTCCAAATTTAACTCACATTATCCCAGCCGTCCAAATAATAGGAGAGAGGTTAGTTTACTTTTAGATATATAGCGACTACTTTTATGCCGAATAGTATATAAAAAGACCATGGAAATTGTCCAGTAGAAATGTACCACTTTACATAAATTACCGTTTTCACTGCTGGCATTGCGTCACAAGTTGACATTAACACTATGACAAACCGTTATGCAAAACTCTGGGAACATCTTAATTATGTAAATAGTTGACCACTTGTTCTTCCCTCGTCTATCTCCTTTGTTACATGGTCGAACTCAAATGACGACGAATTATTTATAGAAAAACAACACAAAACACAACATAACTATTACAGGGGGGGGGGGGGGGGGGAACTTTGGGAAAGTCCCCCAAGATTTCTGAAGTTCCCCAAAAAAAAGTTCCCCAAAACTCCCCAAAGTTCCCCAAAATTCCCCAAAATTATTCAAAATTATTTAAAATTATTCAAAATTATTCAAAATTATTCAAAATTTCTCTAATATACATTAATACCCATTAATGTTAACATGTATGTTATTATAAGGTATAATCTTAACTTACTTGTTGATACATGCAGCATGATAATTTGTTTGGCATTATAATTTTTTTGGGGAACTTTGGGGAATTTTGGGGAATTTTGGGGAACTTTCTGAAGTTCCCCAAAAAAAAGTTCCCCAAAATTCCCCAAAATTATTTGTTTCATTGATAATTTTTTGGGGAACTTTGGGAAAGTCCCCCAGGTTTCCTGAAGTTCCCCAAAAAAAAGTTCCCCAAAACTCCCCAAAGTTCCCCTTGGACCCCCCCTATTACAATTACAGTACAAAATTGTTTATAATCAATTATAAACAATGTTGTGCTCATGATTTGCCCCTAATTATTGGTTCAATATATTTTGTTTAGAATAAAAATTAATGACCTATTACTCGGACGTCGTTCAGGCTGTATCACTCTAACAGTGGTGATATGGTGAGTTTTTTTCAAAAGTAGCATAAGTTTAATAAGTAGCATTTAATGTGCACCCGAGCACAACTACAAACGTTCTAAGGAATTAAACTAACGTTTTTTATCTGTGCAATGTATATTTAAAACAATTATGCACCCCATGAATTATAATCTAAAATGATAGTATTTTGTGAGTTTGCACACTGTGGGTAATACTGATACGGCTCATGTGATAACGGTACTTCATCTTAAGTACACTTGATTGAGTTGTTTGGAGTAAATGGGCTGATAGGATTCATAAAATAAACGATATATCGTATAGTTGAGAGCGGAACCTTACACGAGGACATCTTAATTAAATATGGTGTCATTGCATAATAAGACCATCGCAAGAAAGAAAAATCAGAAACATTTGATAGTGATACGGAAGAAACTGATAGGAACCCAGTGCTTCGTCGTTGGAGTAACCCACTTTGTTGTGCCCACGGAACTACCCTCCTCGCGTCCTAAGACAGCGTTTCTCTTGTCTGATATAAGATATATCGACAGGAAATCTACAGTAAAATAACTGTTTGTTTTACATTAACAACACCCCCTAACGTGTTATATTGAGGCTTGACGGTTGCTTGTTCTGATTTGATTAACAACAGTTGGAGACTGGAGTTGATTAATGAAGTTGACTGGTTGGTATCACGGAACTTACATTGAAGTACTCTCTTTGTCACCGCAAGAGATTCCGCTGCTTAATCTAGAGGGTACAAGCTTGCAGCAAAAACTGCAATATTTTCCCCACTCATTTTTTGGGCAAATATTCAAATTTCGGTGCTTGAAAAAATTTTATTTCCCTGCTTGCGAAACGTTGGCAGAATTTCAAGTGAAACACGATCAATTTTCTACCATAGTTTTTTAGCAGACTTAATTAATTATATTATCAACGTTAATTTTTCGATTTGACCGAAAAATTATGAATATGATGCCTATTTATTCCTCAACTTTATGTCAAAATATGGGCAATGGGCATCGATGGGGTTGCCTCCCCTCCCCCAATCATCCACGTTCAAAGAAAGAGAATGAATTCATGTGATGATTTGATGTACATGAGCCGGGAGCCCATTTCAAATGAAGATTGCACCTTTGGAAAAAGAACATAGTCATTTTACAATTTTAATATTTTATGTAACAATTTTATGTACGTGGCCTGTGGGTCTATCATAGATTAAGATTGCAGATCTATTCGTCCCGCAGTACGAGACCTCATTAATCGAGTATTTTCAAAGTCTGTGAATCAAATCACTCTAATTTTTGAGCAGAGTGAATGAACTGATCGCTGATTATCAACAACTATAAGACATAAGTTAAAATTACCTTTAGGAAGATAACAAAATCATGAAACAATTGTATGTAGGTGAGTCACTGGGTCTATCCTAAATGGAGATTGCAGATCTAGACGAGCATGAATGAACGTGTTCCACAGAAGGAGACCTCATTAATCTTCCAAGGTTATGGAATAAAATCACTTGAACAGTCTGACGTACGAGTACTGAGTAGTCTGTAGGGTCTCAAAATGGTATATTCCTGGTGAGCAAGCAATAATTGTAATTGGATCGCAAAGGAACGATCTTACTATTTACAAACACTCGAGAAACGAAAAGTCCCATTTAAATCAAATATTATCTCAATCCCCTTGGCCCCGGAAGGGTAATCAAACCTGTCTTATTACCGATATTGTCGACATAATGTTTTTTTCAGGTATGTCCAAGATCGGAAATCATAAAATGTCGTAAAAACGTAAATGTCTGACTCAGAATAGTCTGTCACAAGGTCATAGACGGCCCCAATGTTAATGTGGCTTTTGTTATGTGTTGGTTCAGCCGAATTAATTATCATATAATCAAGTTTATTTTTCCTTTTTATGTTTTAGTTAGTTGTCATCCGGCCACACAATAAGCAACTTATATTGCAGCACCATTCATCAATTAGTATACCAAAATATGTCATTGTAATTTTGCATGGCTGAAATGTAACGCTTGATTTATATATATAATAATAAATTGAATTTTCAAAAAAAAATTAATGGTTTTAACCGTTAAAAAATCTAATGAAAAAAATTCACTGACCCTTGACAGCTTGGCTTGGTGGATAATCATACTCAGTGATCAGTTATCAGTTCAGTATCAATGTAAAAATCACCAACCGAGACCGAATCCAGCTTATTTATCTCGGTGATGAGAAAGCACATTGCTCATCAGAAAGTGCATTATGTGACCCATGATTGACGACGGATAGAGAGGTGCTCTGATATGATGATTGTGCTTGCTTTAAATGTGCCACCAAGGTCAGAACCGGGGTATATATCCCAGATTAATTGTGTCAGGTTGTTAGTTTAATGCAATGAAACCACTCTTTGTCAGTATTCGCTATCAGATGTTATAGACTTTAGTGGTCACCCATGTTAAGACTCGAAAAAGTTATTATGTTCATAGCGTAAAGCGTTATGAAATGAAATGGAAGAAAATGAAAATCAAATTTGAGGACACCAGCCAAGTAAAACTGGTGGTGAGGTGGTGATATTCTTTATCTAAACAAATTTTTTGATACTTTTAGTCTATATGAGTGGATAGCAGATGCGGTGGAAAATAGATATAATAGGTTTAAGGTAACTTCTTAAGGTACTAAACCTATTTATTACAGCACTTCTACCCGAATTCCGAACAAGTCAATAAATAAATTTCTACCTTGGACCATTTTAATCAAGAACAGTACGAGTTGAATCTGACATAAATGGTTGCAATGACAGGGTGATCAAGTTGACGGCATGTTCAGTTAATCAAATAACCAGGCAGTGATCTGAACATTGAGCCTGCCTGATATTTGATTATTTACACATATAATGTCAGCGCCCAATCCTGACTGACAAATAATAACGTACGGGGGAAATGGGTGTGTCACGAGATAGCCTTTGAAATACTAGGAAGTATAAAGAACCTTCAAGTACGGGCATGTTTGATGGTAAAACTGGTGGTATAGGTATAGCTGTTGTATTAGTTTCATTATCGAAACCCAGGGTGCAAGGGATAAGGAGAATACTATCTTTAGCTCAGTATAATATGCACTGCCATTAGTTGGGGTGTGGGCTATTTCAATATAATCATAGTCGGAATACCTTACCAACCAAAACTTAATGAAAATTGGTTGAAGATACTGATCCGACATCTCTGACTAGGACCAATATTATTCAAATCTTCACATTTAATATCGTTATTGTGACCGGACAAGTAAACAGTGGTATGAACTACGATAATAATCGTAGCTACTAGTCACAGCACAGCCACAGGCACTCATGTGTAATTAATGAAATTACAAATTTGGAAACTTTTAGCACCTATCTTATAATGAAGGTACTATTTGCTGAATTTCTCTCTCTCTCTCTGCCTTGATCAGTAAATAGCTATGAAGCTCGAACTAAGGTGAGCACAGCTAGACCTAATAACGATGATAAGACCGTGTGATGTGCTCGGGTAAAGGATTGATAGAGTTAAGAGCTTTATTTAAAGCTGTAATCAAGAAATTATGGCCCATATTTATTTACTTGCACGGTGTACCCGCAGAAAAACGTGTTTCAGTTTGAAAGAGAATAGTAAATACCAGGATCCCGAAAAAGAGCCTTGATAATAATAAATAAGGACTCCTTATAAAAAAAACATTTACGTTAAAATAAACTAGTACTACTAAGCAAAGTTCATTTGAAATATTGCTCAAAGAACACTTCCCAGACAGTGCTGACATTCTCACTTGCCTTGGTAACTGATAGTTGCCTTGGTAACTGATAGTTGCCTTGGTAACTGACAACTCTTTACTTTTTCAGATTCCACCAGCGATGGCGTGGTTGAGCGCAAAACACAAAACAGCGTTTGAGGACAGCAAAGTTACGTTCAAGTCGATAAATTTACTGTCTCGCATGAATATTGACAAGATCAAAGAACTGGGGGTTACGTTTGACTACTGCGTTAACTTGGCTGCAGAAACCAAACTTGGTAAGTTATGCTTTGGTATATAATAACTTTATTGCAACATTGAACTGTAGCTGTTTTTGGCCAAATAATGTTATTTGCAAATAAGTATTTATTTACAGTTCAAAGCCCACTTCAATGTGGCGTTAGTCTAGACATCAAATGAGAGAGTTACATTGTATTAATTAAAATCATGTCATGAGTCACTCTCCAACTTAATCTTCAAAAAACATGAAACAGAAGATACTACAAATCTCACACAAAATATAAGGTACTGCGAGGGTTGCAAAAAAAAACACTGTGTTCGGTTTTTCTCTTGGACCAAGGAAGTGTCTAAGAAAACAAGACAGACGTTCAAAAGGTCAAGTGTGCAAACTTCATGTATATTTAATATATTTAGTGATATTTGTCTGTTATTATATTCAGTGAACATAATATAGTTACAGTATAACACTCGGATATTGAATTAGTAAGATGTTGAAAATACGTCACGATTGTGACCACCTACGAATCCGAGGAGAAAACCGGCCTCGTCCTCAACAGAAAACATGCTTCTTCAATCTTCATCTCATTACTGATGTAACTTGAGTAAGGGCGATATTTTAGTACATGCCGAAAAACTAATTATTTGTGATTGTCGAAGAACAATACGGAGATAGTGCCAGGTGTTTAAGCCTCTCCTAAGTCAAAGTGTTCAGGAGAAACTTAACCTCACTAATATAATGGCTGAAAGAGTTCAGAATGTTGTAAAAACAAGGACCAATATTTGTCTGATCATGTTTGCATGATGGTCCTGCAATACAGACACCACATTGCCATAGCACGTGATTAAATAACTTCATGAGTCTCAGAATCCCAACTATAGGAGTAAAAGTGGATCCACTTTTGCAGAAAACCGTCCCAAGGGGGCCGACGAGAACTGGAAATTCTGACGAAAGTGGAATCTTTTGGCATAATGGGCTAACTAGTTGCCTCAATAAAGTTTTGCTAGAATTATCGTTTTGTTACTGTTAGATATCAATCCTGAGTTAAAATTCCCGTAAAAGCCCTATACTCCCATTTTCTTATCTCTCGAACCATCATTCCATATTGCTAGATTAGAATCCTGGGAGCAAATTTTCGGAGGATTTATAAATTTTGTCTTCGAATCCATTATCATTTCGCACTGCTAGATTTCAATCCTGAAAGGACTTCCGAAATTTCCATACGTTTATTTCCCTAAATAAAAAAACAGAAATGCAATTTTTATGTAGCTATATCTCAGGAACTGCAAAGAGTATTTGACTGTACTATAATAGTAAAATAGGATGATCTTCAAATTCAACTTTCGATCATGTAAAATTTTCCTATAATAATATATACTCTATTTTGTTTAAAACAGTAAATTGCTACAAATTGAGGCGCCGTTACACAATACAACATGCTGGCACCGTCTGAATTGCTGAAATAGCACGGGCTTCATTTGAACTAGTTCGAAACTATAAGTGCACAACTTAAACTGTTAATTAGTTTGTACCAGGAGACTGCAGAATGCACTATTGTTCCAAAGCACGAAGTGTTGACAATAGCCGGAATTGTGAACAAATTTCCCAATTATCGTTCAAGTGTGAAGACAGGTTCATATTTATCTACTGAAATCGAAAAAAAAAGGTAACTTAGTATTGGTGGATGCATTGTTGAGCACCATCATGCAAAACTGTGGCTTGACCGTTGTGGCCAACTTTTGGTCATCCGGGCATGGGCATTGATGGGCATTACTGTTTTTAAGGCTTTACCCATTGGGCAAAGCCTTAAAAACAGCTTAAACTTGAACTGTAATGAAAATAAACAGCGCCATCATGTTCGCCGTCTAGTCTAGTCTTCTAATTGGCAAGAACAGCTACATTTGAGCTCCATGGTATCAGAAATATTTATTTTTCTATTAAAAATGATGAAAATGATGCCCATTTTGCCCATTTATTAGTTGTTCCCGACGCCCACCACCCACGTTCTCTACCAAAAGACAGTTTCAGTCGCGCCTGATTTGACAGCTCCTTCCTTCGACTGTCACTTATAGCGTTGTATTAGGCGTTATATTATAGCGTTAGGCGTCTGGCGTATGATTATAATAAACGCGAATCAAGCAAGCGACCAAAACTGTCGGAGACAAATTAAATTTGAAACGCACACAATCCGTCAGATCAGTTCCTCGCCTTTATTTAATCACGCGACACGCATCACCCGTCAACTTAGACCTTCCAACCGAGAAATATTATAATCATTTCATCCTATCGTAAATATGAACGGACTGCCAAGACTGGATCTAATAGTGACTGTTTACCCACCTGTCAGGCTTGTCTAAGGAGATATACGAGGAACGGGTCACAAAGCTGGCGCAGAACTGTGCTCTCTTTGCAAAGGATCAGCAAGTTAAGCTTTATGTGGAACTTTCATCGGCACAAGTGTACGGATCAAGTGGAAAAACTTCCAAGGTTAGCTTAGTTCGCACAGTTGGAAATGGGGGAGTGTAGATTAACATTTGTAGGGCTATCAAGATTTTGATATTATACATTTGTAGGACTTATTTTATTTTAAAATAACATAAATTCAATCCAGGAAGATTCAAAAACTAATCCGAAGTACGATTTTGAGAGTTGTAAGCTGAAGGCTGAGGAGGAAGTAGCTAAAGTTGCTGGTACGTGTTTTATATCATGTACTGTTTCAGTCAGTAAAATAAATCAATAGTAAATAATATTTTAAATTAAAAAGGGTACTAAATAACGTACTGTCCGAGTCGCTAAAATAAATCATAAGGCATATTTTAGATATGAATAAGGCTTATACATATCTAGAATTTAGCTACATATCTAGTACATAATATCTAAAATTCCAATAACGCTAGATGGCGTGACTGTGAACTATCTCAGCTGTCAAATTAAATCATAAATAACTTCTACTTCAAATTTCAATGACAATGGATGATGGAAATGTTTAGATCACTGTCGGTTGGACTGATCATGATTATCTTTGTTCTCTGACAGGTCTGAATCACGTAATCCTGAGAGCTGGCATGGTGTACGGACCCGGAGACAGACTTGGCTACATAACCTCTCAACTCGTCATCGCTTCAATATATAGGTACACTTATAGTAGAATCCTTCAACATGTCCGCAAACGAAGAATTAATAACCATTAAAGACCTCACTCCCAGAGAATGATTTTTAAAATTTACTATTTGAGTTTGAAAAACCGTTCACTACATCTCTTGTTAATTTAGTAAACCCATGATTTACTTACAATCACCATCCTCCAGCCACCTGGGGGAGACCATGAAGCTAATCTGGAACAAGAACATGTATGTGAACACAGTACACGTTGAGGACCTGTGTCATGCTGTGACCCATCTTATTAAGGATGGTATTCCAGGTAAGAGTCATATGTTGGGGTTCGACTGGGAGCTACTTTGGTCGGGACTGGAGAGTGTGCCGGGATCAAATCCAGGACTAAAACCGTGACCGGGATTAAGACCTAGAATGAGATTTGATTTTCCAAAATTTTAACTGGCGTGCACCTAAATTGTTGATACTTTACTAATATTTTGATTGTTGCCTGGACGACGGAAAACTGTTGTTCATTACTGATTCCTTACTACTGCTGAGTACTGTATTGTCACAGGAGAAACCTACAACGTGGTTGATATGGGAGACACGATCCTTGACGGTATCTGTGTGCACGTGGGTAACATATTCGACATAAAGTACGAGTACATCTCCTCGTTCACGTCCATGTTAGCGTCCATATCTCTAAAGGACGTGGCTGAGGACGTTAACGAGAAGCATTTGTCACCCTGGTCGGAGATGTGCAGCAAGGCGGGTATCTCCAACACGCCTCTCTCTCCCTTTATCTACTCCTCCCAGTTGGAGACCCTCAACATTCGGGCCTGTAATCACAAACTCCTAGCTACTGGCTTCCAGTTCAAGAGACCTGGGGTCACGGAGGAGAATATAAGGGATGTGCTGGAGGACTGTGTTAAGATTGGGATCTTCCCTAAAACTAATGTCAAGTAGTAGGACAGGTGGTGAGATTTGTGCATGTTGTGATTGATTTTAGAGTGGTATTCCAAATATGCGATGATATGTTACAGGGCCATGGTCTGCATGAGGGCTTGCTTGCTAGTTAAACACGCTTGTTAATATAATAATTTGTAGGAAAACTAATTTGTTATATGTTATAGATTATGTGGATTGTGGATAATGTTTAAGATTGAAAGATGGCCGAGTGCATTTGCAGAGGACGTTCAACCCAAGCATAATTGTTCCTTTAAAGTAGACTGATCTTGTATGATGTATAATCAAAGTGCAATTTTGGTTTGTGACAGGGATTGCCAGCTGAGCTGTTGGTTAAAAAGCCAAATAACATATTTCTTGGCAATCGTCGTAGAATAAAATATCTGGCCGACCAGATTCGAATAGTCAACAAATGCTAAGCAGCTAGAGCTCCCTTACCTACCACATTTACTGAACTCCGAGCTGACACCCCACTTTAATTCGTCTGATGTGGCCCATCTCGGTTCTGTTTCAATCTACTAAATATCGTGTAGCTGATTTTCTTATATTTGCTTATTTTTGGTTTTGTGTGTCAGAGGGTACGATATTTTTCTAATATCAGCGAAATTTCGCCCAAACATTAAACTTAAATCAAATTGAGGTTCGATTTTCCAGAACTACAACAACCGTCTTTAAAGTGATAAGGTGTGAGTAGCTGGATTTATATTTTTGTACTATTAATTGTATTTGTGTGATCAGGGTCCCATTTGTTGGCACAGTACATTTATATTTTTATACTTGAGAGAAAAATGAACATCGACAATTTAAAAGCTAATTATTGTACAAATATTATATTTGATATTATGTAATTAGTTCTTTGAATGAGACATTATTAAGTTATCTAATATAATATAATATAATAGCCAAGTAGTAGCCACCGTGGCCGAAGCTTCTACTAGAACTTATTTTAGTCTGCATGCATGATTTTCGATTGATCCAAAATTTTCACACGCATGCAGAATAATCACATATGGTTGGATTTTCATATCAGTTATCGTTTATCAGTTATCACATTCAGAATACACGTATTCAACCTCTTTTGTATCAGAAATTATTGGGCTTCCCATTTTTATTTTCAATCTTTGTGCTGGATTATTCTCATTTTTGCTATTACATATTATATGGTAGCTTATAGCCAGGGAGTTTGCTGTAATTTGTATTTGATTTTACAAAACTTTATGATTAAAATATGAATTTTCGTTTTGTTAAGATTTCTGCAGTGAGCTTCCTCCGACCGAAATCAAACTTCCAGCACCTTAATCGTATCATTTGGCATCTAAAGCTTGACTTGTGAGTGAATGATTGGTTTCGTGTGAGAAATTCAGTCAAAACTGTAAAATTTCGGTTCTAAACTGAAAATGGGACTGAGAATGGGAGTCTTAGACAGCAGAAAAGAAACATTTTCAAAATCTGAGATCATTTACTAAGATTCAACTACAAATTGGCTGCCAAGTATTGGCATCACTATCATTTTCGAAAAAGCCTAAAATAATAAAAGAGTCTGAGATCTGGTAAAAACAGATAAGCAGGTATAAAAAGTATAGAGATGTGCCATTTCCGCAGTCCTCACGAGACACGGAATGGACTCTAATCAAATCATGAAAGCATACCGTTAATAGTTAAGTCGACAGAACGTACGCGTAATCAAACATGTTGTGAGAACACATTTTGCATATCGACACGTACGTGATATCGACACGTGACAGGTTTCCACACTTATGAATGGATGTACTTGTCGTGACGTTCTCATGTGGGATTCATTTCCGGAGAATTTATGCGTGGCAAGTCGTGAACTTCTCCCTTTATATTATAATTTATATCTCAGCTAATTAATTAATAAACTAATCAACAGTGTTCTCATTCTCCCCCTTAACCTGGGAGCTTGATCCATCTTTGTGTTATGGATAAGTTATTCCTCTTTATGAAATCTCCAAGTTGGATTATTAAAAGACTTAAAAACTTTCTAAACATGACATCTTAGGCCTAGGGGTCGTTCACATATTGCGTAATCAATATTTTGGCAATTTTTACCCCCCCCCCCTCCGTAATCAACCATAATCAAGACCGACCCCCCCCCCCCCCGTAATCAAGACCCAACCCCCTCCTATATTACGTAATCAAGATTAGACACACCCCCCCCCCCCCCCCCCATTTTTGAGTTAAATTTTTGATGTAGAGATACAAGAAATACACATTATTCATTGATGTCTGAGACTTGAGAAGATTTTTGTAATATCTCAAATGGTTTATACAAATTCAAGTATTAATAACTACTACATTAAATTAAAATTTTGATTACGTAATCAACGACCACAACCCCCCCCCCCCCCCCCCGTAATCAACCGTAAGCATTTGAAACCCCCCCCCCCCCCCCTCGGCTGATTACGTAATATGTGAACGACCTATATATATATACTATATAAATATTGTATATATGAAGCGAGACGATATTCATATATATATTAATATGGATCCGTGCAATTTTTGATTTTACTGACACCACGGCATCAACTTTAATGCGACTTTCCGCAAAAACCGTAAAACTAAAAGATATACAACTGAAACTTTTTTGACTGGGTCGAATGCTTTTATGCTTTTCAAATCAGCATGAAAAAATAAAAAATTGGCCAAGGAATAGGGATTTTAGAGCCCAAGATTTGGACCCCCATGTGGTGTCAAAAACGCGATTTAAATAGGTAATAATTATTTCAGTCTCTTGAGTCTTGACACCATTTAGGGTTATACGGGTTCCTGCTAGTTTACTTAAAGCATAACTTAATTTATTCAATGATCATTACATTAACGTTAAACCGAATTAGCAAATTTTATCTTCACATTAAATCCAAATTATTATTAATATTGAAATGGAGTGTGCAGATTTTCTCTCTGAAGTCTGGGTAGTACCCGGACCTAAGTTCTACCCCACCCGTGTCCATCACCCTCCCCAGGGTTCCAGCCGTGCCCATCCTCGCTGCTCCTGAGGGATTAATAGGGTCAATACCCAAGAGCTAACATCATGTGTCTATCAAAAAGTTAAATGTGAAATTTAGAAATCCGAGCCTCGAAACATAATATCACAGAGAAATAATTGCTTTTTCAACTATTAAATAATCTCACCCCCATCCGTGGCCGTAGTCCTCCAGTCCCTGTCTGTTAAACCCAATCTGAGAGGGGCGGTTAGTGTAAGGAGGTGGCTTATCCCGTGGTAAGTGTTCCTCCGCAACTTCATCAGTGTGAATGAAGTACGTCAGCTTGAAACATCGTCTACACTTCTGGGCCGGTAACTACAGGGTGGACGAGTTCAACTTTAAGATTGAACAACTTTCTTTAAACAAAAAGCAGTGGAATTAACTAAAGTGAGAGGAAAGAGATGTCTTTGAACATTTTTCAGATCTAACAACATTCAACTAACGACAGATATCGTTTCTAATGACGAATAAACCTTTTTGGTTGACAGGATTCCGTCTTTCTTCTTTACATGTTGAGTTTGGTGAGGTCCATGGTCGAAACAGTCCGGACACGTAGCATGACCTACCACTGGAAATGCTCTGTTCTTAGGAATCTCCACCTTTTAGAGGAAGAAGATTGTTAAATGGCGATAATATACTAAACATAAGTAGGATTAGGACTATAGAGGGAGCTGGAGTGTCTATAAGATGCTTATTGCTTACCTTTAGTATAGAGGGAGTGTCTCTGCTTAGTACTTACCTTCAGTATAGAGGGAGTGTCTCTGCTTAGTACTTATCTTCAGTATAGAGGGAGTGTCTCTGCTTAGTACTTACCTTCAGTATAGAGGGAGTGTCTCTGCTTATTACTTACCTTCAGTATAGAGGGAGTGTCTCTGCTTAGTACTTACCTTCAGTATAGAGGGAGTGTCTCTGCTTAGTACTTACCTTCAGTATAGAGGGAGTGTCTCTGCTTAGTACTTACCTTCAGTATAGAGGGAGTGTCTCTGCTTAGTACTTACCTTCAGTATAGAGGGAGTGTCTCTGCTTAGTACTTACCTTCAGTATAGAGGGAGTGTCTCTGCTTAGTACTTACCTTCAGTATAGAGGGAGTGTCTCTGCTTAGTACTTACCTTCAGTGTAGAAGGAGTGTCTCTGCTTAGTACTTACCTTCAGTATAGAGGGAGTGTCTCTGCTTAGTACTTACCTTCAGTATAGAGGGAGTGTCTCTGCTTAGTACTTACCTTCAGTATAGAGGAAGTGTCTCTGCTTAGTACTTACCTTCAGTATAGAGGGAGTGTCTCTGCTTAGTACTTACCTTCAGTATAGAGGGAGTGTCTCTGCTTAGTACTTACCTTCAGTATAGAGGAAGTGTCTCTGCTTAGTACTTACCTTCAGTGTAGAAGGAGTGTCTCTGCTTAGTACTTACCTTCAGTATAGAGGGAGTGTCTCTGCTTAGTACTTACCTTCAGTATAGAGGGAGTGTCTCTGCTTAGTACTTACCTTCAGTATAGAGGAAGTGTCTCTGCTTAGTACTTACCTTCAGTATAGAGGGAGTGTCTCTGCTTAGTACTTACCTTCAGTATAGAGGGAGTGTCTCTGCTTAGTACTTATCTTCAGTATAGAGGGAGTGTCTCTGCTTAGTACTTACCTTCAGTATAGAGGAAGTGTCTCTGCTTAGTACTTACCTTCAGTATAGAGGGAGTGTCTCTGCTTATTACTTATCTTCAGTATAGAGGGAGTGTCTCTGCTTAGTACTTACCTTCAGTATAGAAGGAGTGTCTCTGCTTAGTACTTACCTTCAGTATAGAGGGAGTGTCTCTGCTTAGTACTTACCTTCAGTATAGAGGGAGTGTCTCTGCTTATTACCTACCTTCAGTATAGAGGGAGTGTCTCTGCTTAGTACTTACCTTCAGTATAGAGGAAGTGTCTCTGCTTAGTACTTACCTTCAGTATAGAGGGAGTGTCTCTGCTTAGTACTTACCTTCAGTATAGAGCAGGGACAAAAGGATTTCGCGATTATTTTGGCCAAAAATCGCGGTACCGCGAAATTTAACATGCTATACATTAAACTATACATAAAATTTGTCGCGGAGAATGGGAAATTTCGCGATTTCGTACATGCCGCGAAATCCTTTTGTTCCTGGTATAGAGGGAGTGTCTCTGCTTAGTACTTACCTTCAGTATAGAAGGAGTGTCTCTGCTTAGTACTTACCTTCAGTATAGAGGGAGTGTCTCTGCTTAGTACTTACCTTCAGTATAGAGGGAGTGTCTCTGCTTAGTACTTACCTTCAGTATAGAGGGAGTGTCTCTGCTTAGTACTTACCTTCAGTATAGAGGAAGTGTCTCTGCTTAGTACTTACCTTCAGTATAGAGGGAGTGTCTCTGCTTATTACTTATCTTCAGTATAGAGGGAGTGTCTCTGCTTAGTACTTACCTTCAGTATAGAGGGAGTGTCTCTGCTTAGTACTTACCTTCAGTATAGAGGGAGTGTCTCTGCTTATTACTTATCTTCAGTATAGAGGGAGTGTCTCTGCTTAGTACTTATCTTCAGTATAGAGGGAGTGTCTCTGCTTAGTACTTACCTTCAGTATAGAGCAGGGACAAAAGGATTTCGCGATTATTTTGGCCAAAAATCGCGGTACCGCGAAATTTAACATGCTATACATTAAACTATACATAAAATTTGTCGCGGAGAATGGGAAATTTCGCGATTTCGTACATGCCGCGAAATCCTTTTGTTCCTGGTATAGAGGGAGTGTCTCTGCTTAGTACTTACCTTCAGTATAGAGGGAGTGTCTCTGCTTAGTACTTACCTTCAGTATAGAGGGAGTGTCTCTGCTTAGTACTTACCTTCAGTATAGAGGGAGTGTCTCTGCTTAGTACTTACCTTCAGTATAGAGGAAGTGTCTCTGCTTAGTACTTACCTTCAGTATAGAGGGAGTGTCTCTGCTTATTACTTATCTTCAGTATAGAGGGAGTGTCTCTGCTTAGTACTTACCTTCAGTATAGAGGGAGTGTCTCTGCTTAGTACTTACCTTCAGTATAGAGCAGGGACAAAAGGATTTCGCGATTATTTTGGCCAAAAATCGCGGTACCGCGAAATTTAACATGCTATACATTAAACTATACATAAAATTTGTCGCGGAGAATGGGAAATTTCGCGATTTCGTACATGCCGCGAAATCCTTTTGTTCCTGGTATAGAGGGAGTGTCTCTGCTTAGTACTTACCTTCAGTATAGAGGGAGTGTCTCTGCTTAGTACTTACCTTCAGTATAGAGGGAGTGTCTCTGCTTAGTACTTACCTTCAGTATAGAGGGAGTGTCTCTGCTTAGTACTTACCTTCAGTATAGAGGGAGTGTCTCTGCTTAGTACTTACCTTCAGTATAGAGGGAGTGTCTCTGCTTAGTACTTACCTTCAGTATAGAGGGAGTGTCTCTGCTTAGTACTTATCTTCAGTATAGAGGGAGTGTCTCTGCTTAGTACTTACCTTCAGTATAGTGGGAGTGTCTCTTCTTAGTACTTATCTTCAGTATAGAGGGAGTGTATCTGCTTAGTACTTACCTTCAGTATTATAGAAGGAGTGTCTCTGCTTAGTACTTACCTTCAGTATAGAAGGAGTGTCTCTGCTTAGTACTTACCTTCAGTATAGAGGGAGTGTCTCTGCTTAGTACTTACCTTCAGTATAGTGGGAGTGTCTCTGCTTAGTACTTACCTTCAGTATAGAGGGAGTGTCTCTGCTTAGTACTTACCTTCAGTATAGAGGGAGTGTCTCTGCTTAGTACTTACCTTCAGTATAGAGGGAGTGTCTCTGCTTAGTACTTACTTTCAGTATAGAGGGAGTGTCTCTGCTTAGTACTTACCTTCAGTATAGAGGGAGTGTCTCTGCTTAGTACTTATCTTTAGTATAGAGGAAGTGTCTCTGCTTAGTACTTACCTTCAGTATAGAGTGAGTGTCTCTGCTTAGTACTTACCTTCAGTATAGAAGGAGTGTCTCTGCTTAGTACTTACCTTCAGTATAGAGGGAGTGTCTCTGCTTAGTACTTACCTTCAGTATAGAAGGAGTGTCTCTGCTTAGTACTTATCTTTAGTATAGAGGAAGTGTCTCTGCTTAGTACTTACCTTCAGTATAGAGGGAGTGTCTCTGCTTATTACTTACCTTCAGTATAGAGGGAGTGTCTCTGCTTAGTACTTGCCTTCAGTATAGAAGGAGTGTCTCTGCTTAGTACTTACCTTCAGTATAGAAGGAGTGTCTCTGCTTAGTACTTACCTTCAGTATAGAAGGAGTGTCTCTGCTTAGTACTTACCTTCAGTATAGAGTGAGTGTCTCTGCTTAGTACTTACCTTCAGTATAGAAGGAGTGTCTCTGCTTAGTACTTACCTTCAGTATAGAAGGAGTGTCTCTGCTTAGTACTTACCTTCAGTATAGAGGGAGTGTCTCTGCTCAGTACTTATCTTCAGTATAGAGGGAGTGTCTCTGCTTAGTACTTACCTTCAGTATAGAAGGAGTGTCTCTGCTTATTACTTACCTTCAGTATAGAGGGAGTGTCTCTGCTTAGTACTTACCTTCAGTATAGAGGGAGTGTCTCTGCTTAGTACTTACCTTCAGTATAGAAGGAGTGTCTCTGCTTAGTACTTACCTTCAGTATAGAGGGAGTGTCTCTGCTTAGTACTTACCTTCAGTATAGAGGGAGTGTCTCTGCTTAGTACTTACCTTCAGTATAGAGGGAGTGTCTCTGCTTAGTACTTACCTTCAGTATAGAGGGAGTGTCTCTGCTTAGTACTTACCTTCAGTATAGAGGGAGTGTCTCTGCTTATTACTTACCTTCAGTATAGAGGGAGTGTCTCTGCTTAGTACTTACCCTTAGTATAGAGGGAGTGTCTCTGCTCAGTTTAGCTCCAGGGTAATGCCTGCTAAACTCCAGTTTCCACCGGGTGAAGGTATTAGAAAGGTCCTGTGGTACTGGTGTGTTGAGTACAGCAGGATATACACCTCGCACCGTGTCCTGTCAAAGTGTGATCTGCTCTTAAAAATGTGCATTCTAGAGAAACTCAAGTTTTAGATTAATTAAACTGTTCAGTCGATGCATAATTGTATGAATTGGTTCTAGATTCATGATAATTCAGAGGTATAAGAGTTTAACGTTTCGATTTCAAATATCAACGTTGAAATTGTTATTTTAAAAAAATTCAATTTAAATTTTTTAATTGCTCACCAATTTTTCGGAGGGATGTCCATGTGAACCATGTCTATGTGAACCATGTCCTTGTGAACCATGTCCTTGTGAACCATGTCCTTGTGAACCATGTCCATGTGAACCATTTCCTTGTGAACCATGTCCTTGTGAACCATGTCCTTGTAATCCAGGGTAGACAGGATGGCGTGAGCCAGAATGATTTGTATAGTGGGGTCGAGTTTTAGCTCGCGCTGGGGGTTCTGGTCGGCGGTTCAGTGACCAGTCTATTCCTTTGGAGCTGCTGTCTGTCCCAACTTCTGTAACAGCATGACAGTTATAACTGAAATCGATTTGGTATTCCTAGTTTGTATTCTATTTGTATTTTAGCTTTAGATTTATTCAATATTTATAGAATTTACTACGTATTATAACTAGCATTTCTTTTCCATAAGCCACTGAGTCTGTAGCCAAGCACTGTATTTTCGAAACTTTTCCAGAAAGTAAGAAGGTCCCATTATAGTTGGATACCATTCATTAGGTACCTGAAAACGTGGGAGCAGAAGGCCCAGAGGGGCCTGGCCTGTATCCATCAATATAACCGCTGTGGCTGCCGCTGGGGTTTGTTGCAGAGTTTAAACGCCAATCTACTCCCTTACTTTGATCCCCTGGAAAGTATTACATGGAGCGGAAAGACTATTCGACCGGTAGTGGTACTACAAATAAAATTTTATAAACGTTATTTGAACAGGGGTACTTAGCAGTTATAATGGAGTATTCAGCTAGAAGGGTAGCTTCAGTAATAAACTTTCTTTAAGCTAAATGGTCCCAGCTTCGGACTGTTTACCTAATGGACTGAAGACGTAAACTGATCTGTAAAGTGGCGTCAGGTCAATAGAAGTTTAATATATACCTGGAAGTGATTGAAAGTATGCAGGTGGAGCTGAAGGGTTATTATTGTTGTTAGGACTGGGAACATATGGGGGTGGTTCATCTCCCATCCTCCCTGAACTACGTCATTGTCACAACAGCAACCTTCGTCTATATCATCTCCATAAGTACTAGCAGAGATGTCATATTCAGATATTGTGTTAACTATGTAAGAGAGGAAGGACTAGTATCATATATGTAGTAATTCGAATCTTGAATGGAAGATTTACCGATGGGATACTTGTTAGCCATTCGCAGGGAAATGATATACCCTGATCAATGATCATGCTAAAGCTAGGCTTAGGGGTCGTTCACATATTACGTAATCACTTTTTGGACAATTTTCAACCCCTCTCCCCCTCTGTAAACACATAGCTATTGTGTCAAAATTACACTAGCGTAATCATTTGTGATTTGGAAACCCCCCTCCCCCTCAGGCTGATTACGTAATGTTGAATATGTGAACGACCCCTAATATTACCAATAGCAATGCCAACTTAAAAACGATTCTAACAACAAAGAGATCGAAAACTTGAGGTGATAATACAGTATGTTCTGTGCTGTGGCGTTCAATGTATTAAGTATAATGTACATTGTACATTTATAATACTATAAACCACGCGCGTGACTGTACGCACTAGGCTTGTAAGAGTATAAATACACTACCAAACAACAGCGATCATACGGAGTGTGATCTAACTTACACAAACTGGCTAATTAGCACTGTTAGGATATTAACAAGCTCATAACTGCGGTATACCTAATTTACCAAAGACAAAAGCAAATCCACGAATCAGTTCAATCTTATAGCTAACTTTATTATTGATCAGCGTAGTTCAGTTGTATTTTGGCGTACCGTGAATACTGAATGTGATTTTAAACATCAAGAATCAAGATGCATATTGCGTGTGTATATTGTATGCACATTGCACAAGATGGTATGATTGAAGGGTAGATCGTGCACCGCACCTAGCAGTTCCAGTTCCTTATTCAACTCTCTCTACAAAAAATTCACAGCCTAGTAGTCTGGTAATGCTAAATGCACATGGCTCAAAGTCAAACCACAATTTCCAAAGCCTCAAAGCTTTCTGATATCAAACGTTCCGAAATTTTAACTGATAACCGAATAAAAAACAACAAGTTCGACATTAAGCTTACAGTCGTTCGTTGTATACATAATTACAATCTAATTTGCTGCCGACAGTACATCATTATCGAATGTACTGTTACTATTTTAGGTGTCTAGTAATACTAAAAGTTGCGGATCAGTCGTTGGATTCGATCCTAAGATGTACTACAGTACAACTACTACTACCTATAGGCTATATGATTTGTCACGAGAACAAAGGACAAGTCGTGACGACCATTCAAAATGTTCTTGATGCACCTGCAGTGCTGATAGTCTATTGTTGGCCAGTTGCCAGCTCGGTGCTCTAACGAACAATCTTGTATTTGAGCCAGAGCAGGTGTGATCTCACTGTATCCTCATTCTGATTCAGTAAGATCATTGTACAGTAATATGGAGCTACTACCACTAGTGTAACCCGTGCCTACGGCCGGGACTTCACTATCGCAGTTGAAATGTAAAAGAATAAACCCGCATTATATTCGAAAACACACATTACATTTTCGTAGTAAAAACGGTCCGAAAGTATGAACTCGCTCTGTCCAGTGTCCGAACACACCGCAATTTAATTCTGAGTGACCCTCATATATCCTATAGTAATACTTAATAGACAATCTTGAGGTCCACTGCCGAATTACATAATTATATCGCAAATCTGTTATGGGGGAAGAGAGAGCGAGAGTACGTGAGACACTTTAGTATCACATTTGGGTCACAAAATGATCAATTAAACCACTTACCACCGGCCGATATAAAAAGCCTTAATCATTTGGCTTGGTCAGAGTTTTTGCGGCTCTATACCGAAAAACAAACTCCGTAAGTCGTAACTCTTCCCATTTTCTTGATTAAGGCTAAGCCCGTTCGGAAATTACACGCGAACGAACAGACAAACACGCATCTTTAGATTATTAGTATAGGTTATACGCTTAATGAAGCACCATGTAATATTGTAATACTGTACGACAGAAAAAGTCTAGCGTTGACCACTAACCCGATTTTTATAAATCTTTTAAATTCGTATCGGTAGAAAACGATTGGGTTATTAAATTTTACCATGTTGGCGTCACTTTTCTAGAATCTCCTTCCACACCACAAGAGGTGACGTCATTTGTGAATATTCCGTTCGACATATGCTAACTGTAAAACATATTATCAAACACAATTACACTATTACACTATATTGGTTATCCTGATTTATTCCTGCCGTCGTGAGGTCTGCGGGCTGATAGATCACGAAAAGAATTTAATTTCAATTCAACGCACGAACTCTTGATTGCGCGCGCAACGCGCGCCTCTTTGTTTACCTATGAGCACTGACTGGTAGTGGACTTTTCGTACAATAAAGGAATCAAAACTAGTGGCAGAAGATACGTAAATTCTAAATTTAGAATCAATTTAGAATAAGTTAGAGAAGAAAATGAAGAACACCAATGTTATCTATTTTAATGAAAGAGATCAACAGAAAACTGATAAATAATAACATAATTTTACTCAAAAACTATTAACTTTTAAAGAATTTTTCATCAGCTGGTGGATAATAAGCAGACACTACGTCCAGAGAAATATAAGAAATGTACAAAAATATAGCAATAAATTGTCGTCGTGTTTTCATCTCTGATTGCATGCAACAATTCATTTCTTTGCAGAAACGCTTAAAATTCTATTGAACCCAAAAAAGCGGGGCATCTACGTCAGTTTTAAAAATAGAGAAACAATACTATCATATTAACACGAAGCGGGAATAAACACTTGTGAATGAAGTTCATATTTCCTATATTTTGAAAAAGTAACAGTGGAAACTGTTTAACATTCATAGTCTAATTTCTCGTGAGGGCACACAGCACGGGAATGGCAGGAGAGTAAGCTTTTTGAAGCGAACCCAAAAGTGCGAAATGTACAAATTACACACTAAACACCCAAAGTACAATTTAAATTGTACAAGCAATGTATTTTGTACATTGTTTATGCGATATCAGCCGATACGACGTCCAGATTGTCGATCAGGGGTTGTTTCTTCTCGTTATCTGGTACGTAGATCTGCAGTTTTCCGATTCCGAAAGCCTTCAAGTTGTTTGTCTTGTTCATCTTCCTGGAACACACAAACAGTTAGAAATTTACAATAGTCATATTTATAGATTTCGGAACGAGTATTGACCCATATTTCCTTTCAGTTCCGCGTTTTTTGTCTAAAAATAAGCAAATGAGACTACACAGAAATAAATCAGAACAAAATATCTTACTTTGATTTCCTGCAGCAAACAGTGAGACAACATGTGGCGGTGAGGATAGCAGCGATAAGGGTCAGGAGGGTGATGGTGGCAATTCTCAGGGGGAAAGGAAGTTCCTGGAACTTGTGGACAACCTTATCAGCGTAGTCTCCGAACCCACAGCTGATGGCGGTGTGGGGCTCGTAGGTGGAGGGCTCGAATGTATCCACAACTAAAGAAGGGGGTTACAGTTAATTAAAGGAACTTTTGTATGGTAAAAAGTTCTTTACAAAGAAGTTCTTGAGGGCTATTTCAGTTTTATTTCTTATTTATAGCACACCTTACCAGCACGAGGACTCTTACAGAAAGTGAACAATAAAAGAAGCGAGATTATCCCAAATTTGGGAAAGCTTAAAGTGTGGCCGAAATCCACCACCCACAAAGTTTATAAATCTAAGAATATAAGAATAACTTTTCTTAGAAATATCCTTTCTGAGTGTTTGGATGATTTTCGCAGAAATGTAACTATTCAAAATATAAAGGGCGTCATCACGATGCATATTGCATGGCCCTGTTGCCATCGACTTTCGAGAATGGCTTAAAATATATTTTTTCTCGCCATTTTTGCGGACGATGCCGAAATAATCATGATTAACTTTCCGATATTCTTGCCATCAATGGCGGAAACGGAAAATAAATTTCGTTTTTCCCTATCTTTTAAAGAGTAACGATGACGAAAGTGGTGATGACGCCCCCCTCAAACTTCAACCAACCAAGGCATGGGCAGATCCAGCAGCCATGTGGGTCCTGCACAGGGTCGGCTACATGAGTGAAGGGGTCGTCACCACACACTCCCGCACAAGAGTGCAGACACTCGGGGTTATCATCACCTCGGACTGGTTCTCGGGGAATTGGAGACTGCATCATAGCTGAGGGGGTGTGTGTTAGAGATTTACAGGGAATGTCTGGATATTGAGCAAATATTCAGGGTCAAGTTTTCAATTGAAATTAAAAGGTATTTTTTTGTAATGGTCAGAGCACACAGTGAAAAGTGGACCAAACTAACCGGCACACTCGCAAGTCTGACATCCGGCACTGTCCTTCTTGCGGGCAGCACATCCCAGAAGAGGAGCACACTTGAACATGGGGCACTCTCGAGCAGCTTGGATCTTGCTCTCTGACTCGGAAATGAGGGTAACTGTTCGTCTGATCTCTTGGGAGCTGGAGTCTAGTTCGATAACTACTTCTGTTACGTTGAACTGGGGGAGGTGACATGTTAGGAGTTAGGGATAATCCTGCCGTTTTCTGACAAATGTGCGTTAAGACCATTTTTGAAATTCTGAATTCTTTAACCTAATTTATTTTGTGGGTCAACAACTATCCCTGAAAACCATCAGAAACCATTAGAACCAATCGCCGGCCCCCAGAAACCACCTTTTGGAACAGCTTTAAATGTCAAAATTTGTCACAAGTCTGTGCCTCTGATTTTTGAGTGGTCTTTGTCAGAAAACGACCGAATTAATAGGGGCAATAAGTAAGATTAGACTGGTAGTTGGTATTTTCAGGTGGTGTCTCTCTAATTTACAATAATAACAGCAAATTCAGCAACTCTGTAAGTGATACTGTGGTAGTGGAACTACCGATACCTCTCCGTGTTATCAGAGTCACGTCATATTACCATCACGTGACACTTCATGTGACACTTCATGTGACACGTCATGTGACACGTCATGTGACACGTCCAATAAACGTATTTCCCACCATTTCAGTAATCCTGTACTACCAGGTACTACGTAAATACAAAACTACCCAACACAGCTTACAACCTCCAGACACGGTATGAAGTTACAGCTAATATCTCTCGCAGTTCTCTCCCACACACACACTTGTATGTTGTCATGTTAAACTATGTAATTATCTAACCTTTACACTCACGACAGTCATATGAGCTTAACAGATATCAGATATATCTTAGTTGATGGTTGGTATGGTACACAGGTATTCACGTGAATTGTATTAGATTACGACATATAAAGTTCAGATCTAAGATTGTAGTTTTACACAGTTACAAAACTTCATGACTATAGTTGGAAGGCAAGAGTGATTAAATTATTTTCTATTATTAAGTTATTTTCTATTACATTAAGTTACATTCCACGTTTTTATATGAGCTGGGTGTAGATGGTACGTGGGTAACATACAGTTGCCACAAATAGTTCTCAGAAATAGCTTCCTAATTAGATTCCATTATTTGATTACACAGGAACAGGTTATCTTGGTGTTGCTCGGGTATCTTGCAAAACTCAATGAACAGGGAAAGTGAGTGTAAGAAACGAGTACGTTCTACAGAACCTGAGTTTAATCATCTCCATAGTATAATCTTTTAATTTTGGGTGTATTATTAAACTAATTACAACACTTCAAATCTATTACATTTATTGAGGACGTTACAGAAGGAATTGATTTAATGTAGTTGGAGGAGTCCTAACTCTCCTCACGTCCGAAAATGGTGTTTCTCTTGTATCAAATATGGTGTAAGCTCTAAATTAACATTTAAAACTTATATTCTGATATTTCTGGTTAAGTTGCGAATATGTTATAGAAATTTCTCCCCGTATAATTATTAAAATCGTAGCGTTGCGTAGGACACTAAAAATTTGTTAATTCATTCACTAGTGAAAATCTCGATTACTTCTAAGAAATTCTCAGAATTTCGAGCAAGTCACGGATCACGAGATTATTTCCATAATTCCTATAAACTGAGGAGGTGTCTACATATCCTGTAACTAATAAAACTGTAGTATGAGTAGCTGTACTGGAGCTACCACGTGATCACTGGAGCTACCTCGTGATCAAGTGTGTGTGTTGAGTGTAAAGTGTGACGTCAGAGCTGAGATATTGTTTTGTTGAGCAGCTCTAGTAACACCTAGTTACACAAATTATTCATATTCTGACTTCTCTGGTTATATTAAGCTGCGAATATATCCTAAAAATGTCTTTGTATAATTAGAAAAATCATAGTGTTGCGTATGAGTGTTAGTAACACTGTTACTTAGAGTTAGTAACACTAAGTAACACCTACTGAACTGTGAGACAGGCTCTGGCTTGAGTATAATGGTGGAGCACAAAACAATGAAGAATGATAATGTGTACATAGTGTTATAATAGCGAGAAATAATGTGTGAAACACTCTGTCTCCTTACATAAACATGATAGAGCGGACATTGCGCCGTACATTATAATGGACAACACATATCTTACTATGTCAGTCTCTTTTCTGCCAGCAGGATAAACCAGAGGTGGGGCATAGAAAATAAAATGTGTGTAATTCAAAAGTCCCGATCCTGATTCCTAGCACACTCCCGGCAAATCTATTGTTTTTAAGGTTAACAACTGCCAGTATTTTAGGAATGTTTTATATCATTGTTTGTCCATTAGTTGACGTGGAAACAGTTTTGAGCATATGTGTTTGTGTAAGACTGCTGTCCCTCAATTCCTCAAGTCTCCTCTGATCGACTGATCTGGAAACAATAGCGGTTGTCATTAAACTACATTTTGTTAATATTCACTCATGGTCCACAGATCCTAGGGGATAAGGTGATAACTCTGGCGAATGAGGGATTTTCATTGAGAAAATGTCATTAAATTGAGTGAGGAGTCGGATCACAAGGGAAGTGACGAGTAATGTAGAAATGTGTGAATTGATCCACGATATTTATGAAATAAAATCTTATTGACGATTTAATACAGTATTTATCATTTAAATCTGATTTTGAGACAAAAATTTACATTTTTTTTGAATGATTTTCCAAAGATTAAAAAATTCCGGTTTGGTCTCGACCAAATCACTAACCTTTGACAGGGACTCCAAAATAGGTCGATTTTGACCGAGACTAAGCCGGGATTCCGGTCAATCTTTGGTTGTCAATATAATACCAATACACAATAGCGTAACCGTACTTATTCGCGGTAAGTCAGAAAATTATTAAATCAAAGTTCTAAACAAGGGATAGTTAAAAAACAACGCCCAAGTCTAATCTTTCCCTAAAACAAAAACAAAAAATTAAAAACTTCATTGCAATTTCCGCCAATATCTCTTGTCATAACTCAAATTACGGAGATAATGCATGTCAAAGATATTATTCAAATAAAGATTTCTTTTACATAAATCATGCACAATCAGCGAGAATAGATTGCTTTGGGGTCTTCCTCTTCTCCCTGGTAAGTCCAGTGTATTGATGGCAAAAATGAGGGAAGAAAACGCTGGTCCGTCAATAGGACCCCGCAAAACATGTCCTAACATTCTCCACCGACTACGGGCCACTTTTTCTGACAATGGTTCAGCATTGCAGCGTTTATACAAGTTTTTGTTGGAGATGACTCCTGGGTACTTTATATTCAAAATAGTGCAAAGATGTCTGCGGTGAACAACATCTAGTTTTTCAAGGAATATTTTGGGGACGGCCCAACAGGATGAGTTGTACATAAGAACCGATACGACTAAAGCATTATACAGTATTAGACGTTTGTTTAGGGGCAGTTTATCACTCCAGGCCTTCTTGTAATTGTTAAAGGCAGCATATCCCAGGTTTATGCGACGCTGAATATCAGCTTTGCTACACAAGACGGACCCTAGAGTGATACTTTTCCTCCATGCTTCATTCCCCGACACTAATTTTCCATCACTGTCGACTTCACCCGTACTAGCTAAATAAACATGAGTGAATTCCGTTTTGTCTTCATTGACAAAGAGGTTCCATTTCTCGAGTATAGCTGTTGCCTGGGGCAAAATAGCTCTCAAGTTGTCTTCCTCTTCATCATTGAAGTCAACATCATCAGCATATTCAGTGTCAAGTGGAAGGCCAGCAATAGTAATCGGGGGGATCGGCCTATCTAAACTGATTGTTATAGTCCATCTAAGTTCATTCAAAGCACCAGCCAAGACAAGGGTGAACAGACAGCCGGATAGACAGTCACCCTGGAAAGCTCCAAGGAGACTTAAAAACTCAGCTGAAAGAACTCCATTTACCTTCACCCGTAGCTTTGTGTTGGACAACAACAACCGGACAATCCTCAGCTCATCCTCAGTACAGCCACACAGTTTCAGGAGTTCAAGAATCGTAGTGCGTTTGATCGTGTCAAACGCACTAGACATATCAAGTCAGAAAATATAGATTTTAATCAATATTGACAATGTCGTGCTGTCCTTCTAAAGCAAGATGGACAGCACATTCATCATTTTACAATATGTGCAGTATACATATTTCAACGGCCAGGTAGCGCAGTTGGTTAGAACGCCTGTCTTACAATCGTTAGGTTGCGAGTTCGAAACCCACTGACTGCCTGGTCGTGGGGTGAGCGTCGTCGACGTTCAGCTAAGGATCATGAGTGGTCTATGCAGCCCCCCGGTCTACTCAGCCGAATACTCGAGAAATCGGGTGTGAGGGTTAAATGAGGAGCTGCACATTGCAGCAAAGTCTCGGACGAAGAAAGTATGGTACACACTACCTTAACCGTCACTGGCCAAAATGATCCTTCGGCTTCCTGTAATTGGCTGGTTGCACTTGTGTAACATTGTGGCTGTTGGAATACACCGAAGTAAAATAAGTGTCTAGATAAAAAAAAAAAAATCTTAATCGGAGATAATTGGTTGTTCATTGTCCATTGCATTCGTGCCCGCAAAATTCATATTTTGTCTACGTATGTACACGATTTACACGATTAAAAAATCTATTTGTTATACAGGAATAATAACAATTGTAAAGTATAAAATATCTTACTTCCCTCTAACAGTTGACGAGAGAGCTTCAAACATGGCGATGGAGGGAAGCGGTGGCTCACCGCAGGGAGGTAAATCAATACCTGTATCGCGATGATATAAGCCCTAACAAAGCATGGCAATTTCATTTTGATGATGGTCGACTATTTTGACTTTATTCCTTAAGTCTAAACAGAGTTTTCAAGCTGAAGTATATACTATATACTATACAGTATACAGTGGCTAGGGGAAGACATTCATAATAAATGGGCTCCAAAAGGTCTGACAGATTAAAATTGGAACTGATTCGTGCAATATACATTCGCGATTCAGAAATTGCATAGTCTCTCAATGATCCTACTAAGACAAGATCTCAGAGGTTTGATAAACATTTTGTAGAATACAATTTTAAAAGAGTTGACACTTCTGAAGATATTTAAGCTAATGAGATCTGTGCAGGATCTTAAGTTTTAAAAGGCTTTACCTTCCTGGTCTGCAATAGTGCCTCGTACAACTAGTCGCATTATTTAAATACGCGCATTAATTCACAATACTTTTCATTAAGCAGTGGTCACTAGAGCAGTGCGGTGTTTCTTCATATCGTCATTAAACTATTTTAAAAAGATGTACGGCGGCTAAAATAATATTCCCAATATTACAAGCTAGATCACTAGATCACTTTCTTTACAAGGTGAATTACGTGACCACATTGACCGCTCTTAATCCGCTTAAAAGATCCAAAACGTGGAATTATAAAAGCAGACATTTCCTGGTTCAGTAGAATGTGCTCAACCAATGACAACTCTACAGATCTACATTCCCCAGGGATGCAATCAAACGATTGTACTTAAATTCCAATTACAGCACTACTTTATACTTTACAGCCCTCTCGCTGAACATCATCAATAGGAAGTGTTAACATAGTTTTAAAACGATTGAACCTAATTATTTATTTAATTATTTATTTAATTAAACTCACCATGTGAACGTCGTACTTGTCAGTCTCGATAATCTGAGTCTCGAGTCTGAAAGCGCGGGCAACCTGATCAAGCTCTGACTCGAACTGTTCGTGGAGGAAGAAGTTAACGGTAACAGCTGCTCCTTCAAAGTTTCCGGTAAGTCCGTCTTTTATCTCGCCTGGCAAATGTTGAGATCATGAGTAATTAGTAATAACTAAAGTAAATAAGTGGGTAGATTAAAAACACGTACCGTCAATGGAATATATTATCGTATGAATATTTATATGATGTTGTGTATTATTTTGTTGTCTACTGCATCACGCATGTATAAATACACAGTAATTTGCCCCAGCATTCACTGTTAAGCCACGGCTGGTACAAATTATCACGAATCCTTATTATAAAAGCTAATTTTATACATCCGTTTTCTACCGGTGCAGTGGGTATTTGTTATAAATATAACGAGTAAATCTATAAAACATGTATAATATGATGTTGTAATATATTTAATATTTATAAATAGAGAGTATGTATAGGGGAGTGAGCCAAGAGAGTGATGATTTTATTGTACGACAGGTGCGTATTGCGTAACACATATTATGAGATTACAGCTGTGAGTACACGTGTGTATTATAGCGCAAGTGCGTCACGCATTAAGTGATTACTGATTAGTGAACTTTCTTAACAGTTAAAGACCCGCTAAAGCTGCTCTCTCTCTAAGATCACTGTTGTGAAGTTGTGAATCCTAGCGCATGGTTGAAAACAGTGATAAACAGGAACCGTTCATAATTACTTTTAGATTGTATAATGTGTGGACCTGTTTGTGTGTAAACTAATCACTTAATTAGCATGTCATCATTACAGACACAAACGTTCCTCAATACTAACGTATTTGTTTATGTTAATGTGGATTGTGGAAATATCTCACTGTGTTTGTTTTGGCAAAGGCAGAACAAACAGTAATAATTGATACAGTCAATTATTGGAGGATTATCATATAAAAGGTTGCCTTTAAAAAGAAGATAATTATGGTAATTGTTTAATGTTTACACAGAGGAATAATGTAGATGACATAATTTAAAACTGTTTTTCAATAGTTTTAAACAGTTCCGTTTAAAAACGGAACTGGACAAATAACTTCTTCAACTCACTGATCTCAGCGGTGACCTCCATAGTGGTGAGCTCGGCGAATGGTAGACGCTGGCCGTTAACCATCACGTTGCCTTCTTGGATGTCAACATTTAGGTTTACCTGTACAGGAGAAAATCAGCATAAGAACTAAGAAGTATAAATATAATGATTTCTTTTTATACATGATCACGACACATGGGAATCACATTGATTTATAGATAACTTATTCACAACTATTTGTAACTAGTTGAGTGTACCTGCATGTACACTTCTTCTCCGTTATCTCTGTGGATTCCGTTTACTTTGATGTAGATACCCTGGTATTGTCCATGGATACTGCTGTCGATCACCTGAAAATGGGATAAGTTAGGCAGAGCAATTTGTGTTCTTCAAAAGTATTAGGCATATGAGGTCATGAACACAAAACCAAAACTTTTGTGTTCATGACCTCATATACCAAACATTTAGAATTTGGTCTAAGATATACATGATGTAACTATTCGTTTTAGCTATAGATCAAGTAATCAAGTATAGCGCAAGTCACTGAAGAATTGTAAAGTTGTAAAGTTGTTAAGTTCAAAATCTTTGAAATATTGAGAACATGATGAGATTGATGATTAATTTCAAATTTGAAACATTAGTAATCTTGGATAGTTCTTAAAATCAATAGTTATAGATAAACAACCAGTTTGCACTAACCTCAACTTGTGCAGCTTCTTCAGGGATAAAATCACATGCCACCAAAGAAAAGAAAAGTGACAAAAGTCCGATAACTCGCATATCTAAATAAGTATGAAGTCAGTTGTTTTAACACGGATTACTGGTAAATACAGGGGGTTCTAGAATTATATAATTAATCTGGAGCTTATGAAAATCATGTAATTACTGTCGTAAGCTCTGGCACTGGTAGAATAGGCAGAGAATAAAAATGATTATTTTTCAAAGCAAACTCGAGTATTTGATGATGAACAATTGGCAAAATGTTTCAGGGAGCCAAGTAACCACCATCAACCACTAAAGTTTCACCAACAGTGTATGATGAACAATCAGAGGCCAAGAAAGCAACTGCTTTAGCAACATCATCTGGAGAACCAAGCCTGTCAGACAAAGAATTGGCATGGGGGGTTCTTTTCTCAGAAGCAACTAACCCTTGCCCCTCATCTGCCAATGACGGGATTCATTTCTTTGGACATCTGGTATTTTACGTGACCCTACTCTTCCTGTTAAGATACAACCAGGGGCAACTGCATTCACAACAATACCATGCTTGACGTAGTCAATTGCGATTTGCTTTGTCATGTAGTTAAGTGCAGTGTTTGAACACCCATAGGCAATGTTTTCAGGAGCAGCAACAATTCCATGCTGAGGCCTGAGAGGTTATGTTAATAACTTTTCCTCTAATCAGATCAGGTCCGATTGGTTCTTGCTCCATGAACATCTTTACAGCTGCTTGTGTACAAAGGAAGGCACCTTTGACATTAGTCGACATGAAACTATCCCACTCATCAGGTGTGGTTTCTAATAAATTTTGTCCGCCACTTAGCCTAGCGGCATATTTTCTAAGAAATCGAGTCTTCCGGTGAAAGACTTAGCCGATTTAATGCTTTTGATATAGATTCAGAATCCAAAATGTCTCCAAGGACAAAATCATGAGCAACAGGGCTGTCAGAAGATTGAGTGGGACCAGCAGAAATTCTAGCTACCACAATATCTTGCAATACATCATCTCCACCTTCATGTGGATTTCGTTCTTTGTCCAAGATAACTCAGATGCCACCCTCAGATGCCAGTTGTAAGCAGATAGACTTTCTGATACCACTTGATCCCCCAGTAACAACAGCTGTTTTGTTCAATAGTCGATAGCGCTTGCTGTTGTTGATCTTTGGCCAAAATTTCTTTTTTAAAAAGGTATCGATTCCTGTCTAAAGATATGATGATGATGAGATCAGTTTGGTTATTGCATTGTATCTTTATTGAAATGCTAAATTTGATCGAAAGAAGAATCATTGACGGTCCACACGCTCATACAAAATATCATGTATAATACAACCACTACTAGTACGTAAATAATTATAAAGCTTTCAAGTTCCGTTAAATATCGAATTGAACTGTTTTACCCTCATTTTTATTGTATTAAATGGCATAAAATTGAAATTTTTGTTCGACTGAAATTTTTGTTTTACTGACAACAATTGCCATGTCTGTTTTGAAACTAAAAGAATAAATAAGTCAAACAATATACACATAATATCACAATGACCCTATATAAAAATATAAAAATCAAATAAAAATCTGAGTAAGTTTTATAAAAACCCTTTAAGTAGCAAAAGTAGCCAACTCAATGTATTGTCTCTAAATTTATATCTAAGTCTTGAGTCTTCTATTTTTACTGCACTACTACTTTTCAACCCTCTTTCTCCTCTAAGAGCAATGACTGTTGTTCTCAATAGGTCAAATCTTACTATTTTCCTGATAAAAGCCTCACAATACCTTTGACCTGAGTTTCTAGACATTTTATCAGCTAACTTTTTGAAGAAAATAGCCATGAGAGACAGAAAAAAAACATGTACAACAAAAGGATCGTTGAAGTGGAGCATGGAACATATTTACACCAATGCAAAAGTCCTATCAACAACAGCTCAGGTTGAATGGGAAAAATTGCTATGTTTGTATGGTTACACATGCAATATACTAATCTCACAATTTTCTTTTCTCAAAAAATGTCTTTTTTCAGTAAGTGGACATGACAAGATTAAAAACTTTGTAGATACGTTCACCATGATATGAATTTGAAGAATATTACTTTGCATGGAACTCTTTTCCATTGATGTTGAGTTGTATTACTGATACCAACTGCTTCAAGCGAATTTTCAAGAACCATTTATACAGGGTGGGCCAAAAGTCAGTGGGCATACGTTGGCCTTAATAGCTCAGTCACTGAGTGCCCAATTGTAATAATTCTTTCTGGTATGACTTACTACTACCACTGGTTCGAGGAATTTGTCAAATCGATAAATATTCGAGTTAATTTTTTTCGGATGAAGGTTAATTTTTGCATATATTTGATAGTTTGGATAGTCGAATCGAGCTAAATTTTATTGAATTGTGTTTGGCCATTCAAATTACGTTTGTCCTGAAAAAAATTAGAAATGTAGCTTCTCAGATGACAGAGATATGAAGCATAACGAGTTTATTCATTACGTGTGATCAGGTGATTGGTTTACCTAATCACGTGATTAGGTGACCCCGTTAACCACTCCGTTAAACATTATGGGAATTGTTAAGGGTGCCCAATTAAGGTGTCGTGTCACGGTGTCAATTAATCACCCAGTCAATGTTGTTAACGAGATACAGAAAATGCTTGATAACTTCGTCATTTATAATTCGTTTTGCCTCATGTTCTTCAGATCATATGCAACATTTAATAATCTACCGTCTCTGAAAAAAATAGGCGTTCAGCATGTTCAGAGAAAACAATATAGGTGTTTTAATATCGAATGAGCGTGGTCTAAAATATTCGAATTTTCAAATTTTGACGACGGAATCCTCGAACCAGTAAGTACAGCATGCCATCTGCAAAGCAACAGCTCTCAAATGTTAAACACAGCGGAGCTATTAAGGCCAACGTAATAACGTATGCCCACTACACTGACTTTTGGCCCACCCTGTATAATCAGTTTTGATGTTTTTTCTTTCCATCTGTCTTCACTTTGGAAGACACCTTGGCTTTTATTTCTTACCGCACTCCGTTTTATGTCTAGATCTCTACCTTTTTAGGATCTGTTTCTCTTTTTTATTTGGTTGATTATGTCACTGTACTAACCTTTATTGTACCTACATGTACTGTACTGTATGGTCTCTGCTTCTTTTAAGTTTAGTGTGGTTTACAATAAAAATGTTTTAATTTTTCTTAGCCTTATACTGAGTTATACTCTTGTTCATTTTTACACATTTTCTCACATCACTCACAGTCAGCCGCTCTGACATGGTTAACCACCTTCATTGTGTTGTTGGTTGATCATAAGAGCGGGATATAAATACCTCATTTCATTTCAATCTCAAACTTTAATCCAACTCAGTTAATCATGTTTATTATTTGTATTTTGATCCAAGAGTGCGTTATTACCCATTTAATCGAACATTGAAGGAGGTGTTAAATAATTAGTAATTTTTTTGCTATTTTCCATTCAATAAATTCAATGTCAAAGCTGTTCATTTTGAAAAACTTCGCCACTTCGACGCGCCGCGCAAACTAGCATTCTTGCTTCGCAACGATCTCGATAGGTTGACATCGTCAATCAATTGTTCATCGTGCAGTGAAATCCACCGCATGACCAATAAAAAGTTATCCAATATTCATCACACCTAAATGCTTATTTTATTGTTGTAGCGTGCGATGCCCTACTGGGCCGTGCATCAGATATAAATTCTTCTTTGTTATTGCAACGAGAAGGGCTTGTCATTCATACGTTGTAGACCGGCCGCGCACGAGTGCGTGGCTTCCCAGGAAGGGGCCTAGGCCTTTATCGTAGAAACGATAAAGGGGGTTGAGTGTTGACCATTGTTAATGGTCTGGCCCGGCGCGCACTACTTCCAACTTCGTAGCACTAAGCTTGCCATCGGCAACATTTCGAGAAGAAAGTGGCGCGCGCGTTTCTTCGAAGAAATTTAGACGAGTAACATCCGTCAGTAAAGGGGGTCACCAATAGTGAAACGACAATGGGGGTCACGACGTGATCAGATCATACAACCCTTACCTGATCGGACTTTTAATTGAACGGACATTAATTGACCTCTGGATGGAGGCGCTAGCGTGTTCATTTTAATGTCCGTTGAATTAAAGTCCGATAAGGTAGTTAAAGTTAAATTAAATACTGTTGTGGTAATCGCGAACCGTTATGTTGGTTTTTAATGAACGCTCGAAGGCATTCATGATCAGTATTTAATTTAACTTAAACTACCTTATCGGACTTTATTTAAACGGACATTGAAATGAATGCTAGCGCCTCCAGCGGTCAATTAAAGTCCGATAAGGTAAGGGGTCGTTCAAAATTCACATAATCACTTTCTGGACAATACAATGTTTACAATGTTTACCCCCTCCGTAATCAGTTTTAAATTGACACATAGCTATTGTGTCAAAATTACACTAGCGTAATCATTTGGGAACCCCCCTCCCCCTCGGCTGATTACGTAATATGTGAACGACCCATAAGCTTTGAAAATTGGCATATAATTTGTGTAAAATCATTTCAATATCGGTTATCGAGTACCACTATTAGAAATAAAAATCCACACTTACAACAGAGTTAAAACATAAATAATAATTTCAGTAAAAAACCATAGATGTACTAAAACCCGTAATTCATATAACAATTATTTCTTTTTCACATCAGTTACATTGAATTTTATATGGACTATGTCACCATCCAGGAACTCGTAGTTTTTACCTTCCATTCGATAACGACCTGTAAAACAAACAAGATCACTTGATGACTATCTATTTTATCTCAGTTCATGTACAAAAACTTTAGCATATAAAAAGTAAAGCAGCTATGTTTGTACACCAGCATTAGGATTTTGGTTGTAAAGCAATGTACAGTTATTTAGTGGAATTTTCCGGGGAGTCGTGACCTGGTTTATAGGAATTAATTTAACTTCTACTTTACTTCTTTTTACTATGAACACTAAAAACGAGCAAAACCAACCTGCTGCTTTGACCGCTCCCTCAGTTTTATGTTCGACGAGGTCATCGTATTGGTAGACTTCCGCTTTGATAAACCCTCGCTCCATGTCACCGTGGATCTTGCCGGCAGCTTGAGGTGCTTTTGTGTGTCTTTGTATAGTCCACGCACGCACCTGTCATCAGTGTTCATGCCAGTGGAATACAAATTAACGGGGTTTAATTTGCTAACTATGATTCTAGTTAAATTCGTTAGTTGAAAAATTTGATAAAAATTCGACAATTCAGGAATATTCTGACTTTAGAACTTTTAATATTCAACATAACATGATTCCTCGATTAAATCACATTGTTTAACAAATAGCATCACGTCATAGTTACATACAAATTTCTATGTATTTTAATACCGTTAAATGTTATAACCTAATAATTTATGGAATCCAATATACAAAATCAAATTAACCCAAAATACCCACATAAAAACGTTAGCATCTATAAATACCTCATCCTCTCCCACAGTGAAGAAGTACTGCAATCCGAGAGCTTTGAATCCGGTGACGATTATCTTGCTCAAGTTAGACTGTGTTTTGTTTTCCTCTAAAAAGGTTTTGGCGTTTTCCGGTTCGTCCAATAACCTCTGCTCGAGAGCTCCAGAGAAAGGGATCATTGTGGCTCCGGGGTCGTTGGCGTCCAGATACTGAAGTGTAAATAATAGGTGGTAAACAATAACATGAACAATGATCCTAGTTTTAATATACTTTAATATGGTTGCCCCCCCCCCCCTCCTCATCTTATTCTGCCCCGAAATTCAAACCGAAGGAACCGGGATGTTAGCCGATTACCCGAAATAAAATTTTCAATAGTTATAAAATTAATCTGTAACGTTTTGAAATTTCCGACCTCTGATTAAATGTCAGTTTTTTCCTAAAAGTTTTGAAATCTCCGATCTCAAACGATGATCCTTAAGAACTAGAAGTTTATTCGTTCGTTTGTTTTCCACTTTTCGTATGCCGTTCAACTATGTGCGAATGTGTGAATGTTATCTTAATGGGAGCTGAATTATTCAATTTATCATTATAAGTTGGTTTTAAGCTGACCTCAGCCTCCATTGTAAGTTAGCACAATTGGAGACTTTGTGGAGAAACAAGAGGCTGTCCCGGTAACTCGTACTCCGTTTTATAGATCTAGTCCTAGATTGTAGAGTACGATATATCAGCCACATACTACATTTTATATAATCACAAACGACTATGAACCGACTACCGGTCTAGGGATTTGGCTGCTGGACCAGAAACAGTCGGATTTCAATATATTTTCCTATTTGCCAGACAGGAACCGATCAGGAGAATTGAAATTTTACTAAGAAGTTTAAAATTTCCGACCGCTGGTTGCTAGACGTCAGAAAAATGTATCCTAAACGGTTTGAAATTTCCGATTTCAAAACCTCATGTCATTGGACCCTGTGATACTATACTAAGGAGTAGCATGTATGTTTTTATCCGGCATCAGATATGATCTCGAGACATGCTTTCAGGTCTCGAGATCAGACTGTGAGGACCCGGAATGTTACCTGAGTACTACCGAAATCAAATTTTCAAAAAATATAATTTTTCCTGCAAATTCTTAAAATTCCGGTTGATATCCGGCCAAGCACATTTTAAACCGGACCGGTACCGGTCGGTTCCTAATCCGAGTTGAAGTTTTTGACATCAAAAAAATTAAGACAGGGAAGCTAGTCAGCGAAAACTAAATTATTTCTCGCCGCCCCACGATTATGAATAGTATCTTAACTTCCATACACGTATTACGTTATCTGAAATGGCACTTCTACATCAAGATGTCACGAGTTACCGCCAACCAGGGTAGTTTCTACTTTTATCTTTTTAAATTCGGAACTAGGCTATGTGACGCAAAATATTGCTTTAAATAATTAATTTATCAAGCAAATAATGTTGGGAATGTTGCCAAAAAGATAAAATGGCGAAAGTGGTCCGTTTTCGTAATTCGATAACTTGAAGTTGAATTATATCCTTAGCAGCTGTTCCCTGTATAAAATCAAATACCTTGTATTAGCCACAGTTGTTTCGTTTTGAATTGAATTGAAATATTTTGTTATTATGTATTTCCCTTATTGCAATATTCTCGATTATTTCAGTAGTTTAATTAAGAGTGTTTTAAATTTTCAAGAAAAGGCGAGAAGTTCTTTATCTAACCGACCTAGCAATGACCACGTTAAGGAAGTAGAAAGGAATAAAGTTGTAATAAAAACCGCATTATTCTCCTGAAATACTCTATTGTAATGTACTACTGGTCGGTATACATTCTGTTACATTCATTAGGGTCAAACTAACTATTCCATATTGTTGCATTCCCTGTTTAACGCTATTGTACCGATAAATTCCTTTTTATTTAGTAGACCCTCAGTTAAATCAAAAATTATAATATACCAAACATTATAATACCAAAAATATTACAAACAACGTATCACTGTTAGCGCATCGCATGTATATATTGAACGTTTACTTGTTTGAGATAGGTTGAAATAAGATATTGAATATTAACTTTCTGGACGATCAAATAAAACAAGAAGATTTTTTCCTTCCGCCATAGCTGTTACATACCTTCATAATCGAAAGTGGCCTGCATATTGCATATTAGATAATGCAGACATTGTCAGTTTGTCGCATTTAAATTAAACTTGAATGTTGTGTGTATTGAACCGGGGATTAAGAAATAAATATGGCATCGTTAGATCTAGATTAGGAAATGCGGTGGTAAAGGTGGTTACTGGTTACTACCTGGCACTGTCCGCGATATCAGGTTACATTACGTGTTAATACAGTGTAGATGTTGTTATTTGATATAATGTTAGTTTCAGAATGTTGTTCGAAGCATGCGTTAATTATTTAAATTTAAAATTTAGTGGTAATGTTGACTGCACGTGCAGTTAATCTAGCGTTAGTTTTATCTAATCTGTCCATATTCAATAATATTATAACTTACGTACATACATTAAGATGATGTAAGACAGACTTGCAATGTCACTCTTGGCAGATCGATAGTTGAATTGACAGTATTTAAAAAAACGTACCTGTTTGATTTTCATCAGCCATTTTCCCTTCTTCTTGATGTAATCCTTCTCGCCCATGTTGATAAGATAGATAACAGGTTTGCTAGTCAACAGTAGATGTTTGTTCAGGGCTTCAATCTCTTTGTTTGCCCACGTGCACTTTCGAATAAGCTTTCCTTCTTGCAGCAACTCACGCGCCTGAAGATTTAATTTTTTGGTATTTTACTAAATTATTCATCACATTCACACCTCTAGCATGTGTCGTGGTATCATGGTTCGCTTAGGTTCCACCAGGATCTGGTAGTCCTAATAATTCTGCGGCCTCTGTGTATCGTCATCTCACACAACTCCTTAAGAATCTTAGGTGCTATAGGGGGTAATTAGAAATACACATTATAGTACACTTACACTCACATTCACAAGTAATTATGAGGACTACCAGATCCTGGTGGAACCTAAGCGATCCATTATATCACGACAGGCCCTATCAACCTCTCTGAATGATATAACATCAGATTTTATTGAGTGATATATCATATTACAAATACATTGATGAATAATGACATGTTTATTAGAATCATTTGAGCGCATGGAATTTTGACACTCTGCGGAATTATCACTCCTTAATTAAGATTTCCCTATCTTAAGAATAATCTGAGGTTTAAAATACGGAATTAGATCAAATCTTATGACATAAACATGTTCATCATTTCAAAAAAAAATTTTAAACATTATTAGTGCTGATTCTCATTAAATACAAACAAATTTTGACCTATTAAGGGGGCCGGGGGGGGGTCTTCATCAAAATTCTCTCGAAATTGATTTTATAGTTGTTTCTGATAGAGGGGAGTGATATCTATCAGCTGCTTTTGGTCCCATGGAAAAATATTGTTCCTAGCCAAAATTATCGCCAGTCAAAGGTCAGCGCTCTTGTGTAATTGTATTGCGCGAGCGATTTTCAATCGCGCGCCCTGAAAATCGAGTCTAAAAATCTATCTTCTCCTACATTTTTTGAGCAATCACCCTGAAACTTTCAGGATATGTTCTAGGGATCATTTAGAAGATATCTGTCGAGCCGAATTTTGAGATAGGCCTTAGAAGATTTTTTATTCAATTTTGAAAATCTTGGACCTCATTTTTTTACGATTTTTCCAGGTCCAAGATTTTCAAAATTGAATAAAAAATCTTCTAAGGCCTATCTCAAAATTCGGCTCGACAGATATCTTCTAAATAATCCCTAGAACATATCCTGAAAGTTTCAGGGTGATTGCTCAAAAAATGTAGGAGAAGATAGATTTTTAGACTCGATTTTCAGGGCGCGTGATTGAAAATCGCTCGCGCAATACAATTACACATGAGCGCTGACCTTTGACTGGCGATAATTTTGGCTAGGAACAATATTTTTCCATGGGACCAAAAGCAGCTGATAGATATCACTCCCCTCTATCAGAAACAACTATAAAATCAATTTCGAGAGAATTTTGATGAAGACCCCCCCGGCCCCCTTAATCATAGAACGATGACTCGAAGTGTCTTTTCCTTGACGTTAAAAGTTAAGTATATGCCATAAATATTCAGAGTGAGGTAATTTATCGTTAATAATCATGCCCTCCACAGTCTAAGAAAGAAGAGCCAGATATCAGAATCAAGTGTAACAACGTACAACAGCTTAGGTGATTTTCCGCTGTTATCAGGAATGCACCTTTTCGCCAGTGACAAACTCATTATTACATTTTTAGTGACAACTTATGAGGTTCCTTTCTATTCAACAGCAGGGTGATTGTTGTAGTAGAGGCTCTTACGGGCATTGTCTGCTCGATACGCTAGGGACCCCAGATACACCTTACTAGACGTATTTTTGACCGTAGAATCGATTGAAAGTGGTTTTAAAATGATTGGACTGATTGTTCTGGGGTAAAATTGCAAAAAACCGATTTTTGGGCCAAAAATAGGCCAAAAAACCATGTTTTTTGATATTTTGAGCAAGTTAATTTTGTTGGTATGTCGGCAAAACTTGCATGAAGATAGCTAAAAGACAGCCGCACAAGATTGTGTAAAAATAAAACAAATCCCTCTATTTGTTCTGAGGTAAAAATCCAAAAAAGTGGTAAAAATTTTGACTTTTTTGCGCGCAATTTATTTTTGGTACTTATATGCTATATTTTGAAAATTTTTAAACTTATATCTTGTAATAACAATTAATTAAAGTATATTTAATATAATTTTGACCAAAAAATTCATGTTTAATGGAACCAAAATTTTAGGTGCGCCGCGCATATTTTCGAATATTTACACCGTGGTATGAAAATCGAGCGCTAAAGCAAATACTGTCATATTGTCACAAGAATACCTAGGTTGTTTTTCAGTATTATTGTCGCATTTCGAAACTCCTTTTCACCCTATTTGGTTATCTTTTTGATGTGTAATTTGATTACTAACTATGTTTTCATGTATTCTCTTTGATGTGGAGTACCCATTCATACTATTTCCTATCGTTTTTATCATATGCTTTTTCCTCTAGAGTCGGCTCTATTTGTGACATACCTCTTATCTTCTACATAGTTTATCGTGGTTTGTTGATACTGAATTGGTTTAATTGATACTATACGATTACTTTGTTAGAAATGTATAGTAAGATGTGACGGAATAAGAGAAACTAAAATATTTAAATGGGTTGTGGCCATTTCAAAATATTCGATGAGGTTATATTTTTTAAATTGAAGGTCTTTCACCAAATATGACTTGAATAGTTTTTCGACAAAGTTTTTAGAAGAGCTTTAATGATTTCAAAGAATTAGCAAATTGATTGTACATCTTAGAAGCTACTACAGAGAGGCTACCTACACCAAACATAAATCCGAACATATCTTGCAGATAAGTTGGAGCCAATCCTAGTATGGATTTGTGAGATTTTGTAGTGAGATTTTGAATTCAATCCTCTTCTCTATATCCATTATCCAACCAGTAAAGATTGATCAGTTCATCCTCAAGATGGTAATGTTTATATTAGTAGATATAATATAAGTAAAGTCCTCGTCACTTGTTTGGTATGATATAAGTAAAGTTCTCGTCACTTAATTAAACCAGTAGCGGTCGCCGTTCCGCAAGTGCTGTGGGTAATTTGAGTACGTTGAGTACGTTGAGTGCTAAATTTTGTACAGTTCCCCAGGTTTATGATATAATGAATAATTTATTTGGGTCTTTAAGAATCGTTCAGAGCATGGTACATGTGTTTGTAAGATAAATATTACCCATTGAAGCTAATAGCTTTCAAAGTTCTTATTGTATGGAATTATACATATGAAGCAAGTAGAGGAATCCACCCTTCGAATGTATATGAGTCGTTATTTCATGTTGAACCCGGATGGGTAACTTTGATAGTTGATATTAGATCATCAGAAGCATCCACTCAGTGCCTACTATAGTAATCACGTGAGCATATTCCTTGCTGTATAGCACATTATTTCATGTGGAATAGCGTGTTAGCCCATGATAATTTCGTCACAGATCAAACTTAACACACCCTATAGAGTTAAGCTATGATAACGTCGTACTGAGGTACACTAAAATTCAATATAAATAGAGGGCTCTTTCCCTCCCTCCCACATTTCTTATTTGCTCCATTCTACGCAGAGCTGCCGATCTTAAAGACCTCTAACGAGTTGATGATCTTTAGGGACCTACTCTCTCTCTCTCCCTCTCAGATCTCTATATGTTGCAGTGGAAGCTCTTCTTACCTCTTTATCAGAAGAGTGGAGAAGTTTGAGGACATAGCCATAGCTTTCTTAACCATTAACTTCTCTAGATTTTGTTAAAACTAAAACATTAACTTTACGTGAGTTGATCTATTTCATAAGTTTTTACAAATTCACCGGACAAGGAGTTCTTGCAATGATAATAATTTTTGCTCTAAGAATTCTAATACAGATAACTCATATTTTTACAAGTTTTTATTTCAAATAAATTCATACGAGAAGGAGTTGTGTGCTACAGCGTTTTCAGGATGCTGCAGTGTTTTCAGGAAACTGCAGTGTTTTCAGTAAACACAAATATAAATCTAGAAGGAGCGAACGAGCTGGCTAGTGACCGCAAGCAGTGGAGAAAGATGATAGTACGACACAAACGAGAGTTCATTATTGATGCAGATCACTCGAATGATTGATGAGAGCTGATCAAGTTGAAGTACAAGTGAGTAAGTTGTGAGTTGTTTGCGAGCTCAGCAGTATAAAGCTCTGATAAACCCAACTTACACCTCACCTATAAACTTATATTCTAACTATTTTATATCTTATTTATCTACAATTCAGCTAGATTTTATCTTTCTAACCTTCCAAAAGGTTAAAAATGTCATATGTTGCTCATATCAATCTATCAGCCCTATGCTACAGCAAAATTGTTGATACTTGAAGCTTAAATATTTACGTTTACAAAACTCAAACATATTTAAAAATTGCTGTGATATGGTTGATGCTAACGGCTCGTTAAGAGAGATCTAAGCCCATCTCCAGTGTCATGAGTTAGCTATATCACAAATTGGGGTTGGCTCTCAAGAAAAGACGGAATCAGGAGAGCATTTTCTCCACCCGTGTCAATGTATGTGGGGACTCCCACTAAAATGAGTTATGTTACGTACAGCGATGATGTTAGAGACCTTCTCTATATCCATCTCTAATATACTGAAGTACTAAGTGCTGTCCTCACTCTCTATCAGAGGAGAGGTCTGAGGACACACCTCTGTTAATCATAGTTTGCGTTTACAAAACTCAAAAATATTTAAAAATTGCTGTGATATGGTTGATGCTAACGACTCGTTAAGAGAGATCTAAGCCCATCTCCAGTGTCATGAGTCAGCTATATCACAGATTGGGGTTGGCTCTCAAGAAAAGACGGAATCAGGAGAGCATTCTCTCCACCCGTGTCAAATGTATGTGGGGACTCCCACTAAAATGTGTTATGTAACGTACAGCGATGATCTTAGAGTTAGAGACCTTTTCATGTCCAATCTGTAATTATACACTAGGTGCTAGTTTCACTCTATCAGAGTAGAAGTCTAGAAGGATAAAACTATGATAATTATAGTTCACTGTAACGTTAGTATACCAAGTTTAGAAAACAAACAAGTGATACACAGTGTTTAATGATGAAGCTAAACAAATATCAAGTACACATCATAAAATAAAATGTAATATTTCACATGC